CGCACCTGCGGGCGAGCGGCAGCCTCCGTGCTCCCGCTCTATGGAGCCCCCGTTGGGACTCCTGGTGGACATGCACTACACAGCATCCCCACCGTCGACAGCATCCTCTTGGCGCCGCCTAACTTCGTCCGACCCCTCCTGAGTGGATAAGTCGATCGCTGTGACACTTTCGCTAGTGCCCCCAGCGGTAGCAACTCTGCTGCGCAACAGCTCTGCCACAACTTCTACAACAGGCGGGGAGAGTTGNCTTCGTCCGACCCCTCCTGAGTGGATAAGTCGATCGCTGTGACACTTTCGCTAGTGCCCCCAGCGGTAGCAACTCTGCTGTGCAACAGCTCTGCCACAACTTCTACAACAGACGGAGAGAGTTGGTGTACTGGAATGCACCAAACACACCTTCAGCAGGGACCTCAACAGCCCGCACCAGGGCGCCATCCACGTCCGGCCTACTGCTGCTCTCTCCTCCCGCAGTGTCGCCCTCCCTGACGACCACGCAGCTCTTAGTGGCTGCTCGGTGGAACACATAAATCCCGCCCCACCTGCCGTGCCTCTCGCAGCACGGCCCGTTCAATCCTGGCCTTGCCCACCCGACTTGGCCTGCAGAAGTGATGGCAGCCTGCCCATCATTTCCTACACCCCTGGTTCTCGCCTCAACTCGAAACCCTAGTCAAAACTTGCGCGTCGTGTCACTCAGTAATGTCCTTACCACGGGATCACGCACAACGCTCCTGCTGCTGCTTGTCACCACAGCTGAACTCTCAAGATCATTGGGCTCCTCCGGAGGATGCATTCTAGAATGTTGGTATGCCCTTGTTGTGTGACCTCCAGAGTTCAAAGAGCNTCAGTAATGTCCTTACCACGGGATCACGCACAACGCTCCTGCTGCTGCTTGTCACCACAGCTGAACTCTCAAGATCATTGGGCTCCTCCGGAGGATGCATTCTAGAATGTTGGTATGCCCTTGTTGTGTGACCTCCAGAGTTCAAAGAGCGTTGTTAACGGCATGTATTATCGTAGGGGGGCATGAGGGAGAAGGAGGGAGGAAGAGTGCCAGGCCCAAAGCCAGTCGCAAAGGGAGCCCGCAACTCGTATTTCAAGGTCTCTCCTAGCCGCCCCTCAAGGCAATCCCATCTGCGGTACACGAAACCGCCAGTGATTTGGTACAATCCGACTAATCTACCTCCACGCACGAACAGGTGCAGGCGAGGGCACTGAGAATGCCTGTCAACCGGGACGCGATCCAGGCATTCGGGCGCAAAGCTCGTCGTGCTCTCGAGAACGCAGCATCTACGGACGCCGAGCGTGTGCAGTACAGCGGCTTCAACGCGTCCGAGGGGTGGGTAAAGAAGTTTGTCAAGCGCAACACCCTGCACTCCCGTACACTTCACGGCAAAGCAGGCAGCGTCGACGATGAAGCCATCGCCGATCGCCTCAGAGTAATCCGCGAGACGTGCGCTCAGTATGCCCCAGAATGGGTCTACAACGCCGACGAAACCAGGCTGTGCTACAGGATCATGCCCAAGGCTACATACCTCGCACCATCAGAGCTCAAGAAGACCGTGCGAGGCGTGAAACGTATGAGAGCGAAGGATCGAGTCACCGCCTACATGGCTACGAGCGCCAGCGGGCGTAAGGTGCCGCTGTCTTTTATCGGCACAGCCAAGGAGCCCCGGTGCTTCAAGATCCGGGGCTCACCCATCGAGTACTTCAGCCAGAAGAACGCGTGGTCGGACGCGCGAGTGTTCAAGCTGTGGTGGTTGCAAGTGTTCCTGCCACACGTGCGCTCCGTCACCAGCGAGAAGGTTATTCTCATCATGGACAACCACGGCAGCCACGCCGACCTCGTAGACCCCAAGGAGCAGGTGAAGATTCTTGAGCTGCCACCCAACTGCACGAGCAAGCACCAGCCCATGGATGCCGGGATCATCGCAGCCTGGAAAGTGCGGCACAGGACGAAGCTACTGCGGATTCGCGTCGACACGATGACGTCGGCGGCGCAGCTACGGTAGCAGGCGAAGAAACGCGAGGTGATTCGGGGCTGCATGGGGCTCGCGGAAGGAGCGCAGCCTCACATTCTGGACGCAGCTGAGCTAGGCCTCGAGGCGAGGAAGGAAGTTTTGCCGGAGACAATCAAGAGGTGTGTCCGTGTGGTGGTGTTCACGACATTATTCAATAACTGCTGTATAATTTGCCCCTCTAGACGCATACCGTTACCACGTATGTATGTATTTTGCACGTTGACGAAATTGTTAACTGACGCCGTCATCTTGCAAGTTTTGTTTGAATTGCAAAAAAATATAAAATGCTTTTTTGTCGTTCGGCTCGTTCTGTTTTTTTTTTTTCTCGCCGTGCACGTTTCTCCCTCCTTCCCGCGTACATTGACTCTCATCGTTTCCAAGGTGCTGGAGTGCACGCGGACCTCGACCAGGACGTGGGAAAGAATATCCGCAACAAGAAGGAGAGTCTCGAAGAGTTGACGGACTTGGTGCAGCGGCTTTCTCTTGAGGCGAAGAAGACAACTGTCGATGAAGACCTTGGCGAGGCGTTTAAGGGTCTGGGGTTGGCACCTGGCGCAACGCCAACCCGGGCTTCCATGGAAGCCGTGCAGACATGGTTACGTGTAAAGGAAAAAAGAGGGTGTAGCGGAGGCGATTATTGCAGATCTGAAGGAGGACGATCTTTGTGAGGAGTCGCTTGCCCACCTGAACATGGACCAACTGAACGTAGACTCGGACTACGACGAGGCCGACTCTTCGGCGGGAGACGAGGGACAGTGTACGCAGCCCCTGGTCTCTCCTCGTCCGCCACCGTACGCTGGCGTATCTAGGCAGTTCGGAGACCCCGAAGAAATAGCAGAGAGGTGCAGCATGGCCGGGGTAGCTTACCATCTTCGCCAGGCGAAGTTAGCCTGGATGAGCGAGGCTGGGTCAAACAAAACGAAGCAAACATGCATGGCAGACTTCATGTAAAGTTGCAGAAGCTGCCCACAGGCGATGTTCATGGACGTCTGTTTTTTTTTTCTAATGGTAGGGTGTACTACTTGCACTGCTGTAGGTGCTTGAATCACTGGTCTTGAGTGTTTTGTGTGTGTGATGCTCACGTCTCTGCGTTCGGTTGGCAGCTATCCTATGATATGCACTGCTGTTTGTCGAGATGAGGTCGGAGTACACCTTGGAGACCACGTAAAAGTTACATCGGTTGTGCTTCGTACACGACAAGAAGGAGGGATCACGCTTGGTGAGGGCCCCATAACGGACGGAACATTGTGGAAAAAAAAAAAAAAATCATCACGTCCATCATGTTAGACCCTGTTAAGACATATCATCGGTTTGAGAGAGGTTTTCTCTTAAACCGAACGTACAGTTTAAGAGAAAACCTCTCTTAAAACGTATTAAGATAAGTTCGTGTTTAAGAGAGTTTTTCTGGGTGATGCACACCTCTCTCTTAAACCGTAGCCCCCACTGCATTCCCGATCTCCCCCTTTGTTTGAGGGTACGCTCTTATACCAATATGAGAAGGAGCTCCGATATAAGAGGGTGGAGCGCCTTTGTCACACCACCGATGGTGGTCTATACAGTACTGGGCCCGCTATAGTGCCGATTGAATAGTGCCGATTGAATAGTGCCGATGCCCGGTATAGTGCCGGTAAAATCTCTGGACACAGAAAGCGCCCTCAATAGTGCCGGTTCGGCACTGTTGAGGGCGGACCCTCTATAGTGCCGATTTGGCATCACGGCGCCCCGCAATAGTGCCGGTTCACACACACACGCCAGCAGACACACACACACACACCGTGGTGACCCGGCGGAATTGATACTCCGCCTAGCAACGCTTGACGACCCTCAAGCCAGCTACCAACTGCTACGTTTATCTGGTGTGCCACGTTTGTTCCATCTGCTGAGGACGATTGCACCGTCTATCACCAACTCTGCCGCAAAAATACCATGACAACATGATGATGTGGGCAATGAGTAAGATCGTCCTTGGCAAGATGGCCGACAGCATGAGAATACCAACAGTCAAAGAAGTACGCGCAGACCCGACGAAGAGCGAGGAGGTAGATTTCTTCAAAGGGACAGCTCGAGCGCAGGTGCACCCACCCATGCGTGAAGGAGCACTAGAAATCACGAGCAATGTTCTCATTCGAGAATCGGCTTTCGTGGCAGGGCAAGCGCTGGTGTTCTCCAAGTCAGTGCAAGCATCGACAGGATACACAGTTGAGCAATGTCTACCCCGGCTTGCCCAGCTACCGACAGGACTGGCTCTGATTGACTCGCTGAAGAAGCTAGAGGAGATCATCACCAAAGACAAGCTTGAAAAAGCTGTTGGGCAGTCATGGGCTAAACTTGCCACAAGTGATGAGTTACCCCCCGACCTCAAAGGAGTTTACCTGTTGGAAGCAGGGAAGGCGGGAAAACCCCGCAAAGATGGAAAATCTGACGTAGAACATCAACCATCGTCCACCTACAGCCGAAATAATTTGGTCAACACTACCAAGTCTTTGGGGCCCAATCTCTCCTTTCGAAACCTCTTCATGGCAGTGCGTCACATGGTGGAGACAGACTTGCAGAAAGTAGTAGGCGAGGAAACGCCAAAGAAGAGAGCGTTGATCCGCTTGGAGGAAGCGAAAGGCAAGGGAGTTTTGTCGTGGTTGACAACGCAAGGGTTGTCAGCAGATGAAAGAATGCTGCCTGATCTATATCGAGAGTCAATCGGTCGTGTACTGGGGAGTCACGATCGAGCAGACTGCAACACAGGCAAACTTTGTGGTGCAGGTGCATTGTTACCATGCAAGGACCGCTTGAGCCGAGCCCACTCCCTCGTCTGCACCAAGACCGGCGCCTCAACCTTCCTCCATAACAGGATGGTTCGAGTGGTCCTCAAGACACTGCGCGAGTGCCATATGCCCATCGCCGTTGAGGATTCTTCCCCTTTTACCACAGGCACTGGTAGGCGTAAGGGGCTTTACAAGATGGATTTGGTAATCCCCCCAGGATTACACGCAGGAGAGAAGGAAGAGGACCTCTGCACCAAGTCCATTCTGATCGACGTAACAATCGTCAACCCATCAGCAGGTCGAAGCATCGACAAG